ATATATGTAGATGATATGATTGTCATAAGTGATGATACAATAGAAATCGAACAGATGCAAGTGTATTTATCTTCCGATTTTGAGATAAAGGATTATGAGGGACTTAAATACTTCTTGGGGATTAAAGTGGCTAGATCTCAGGAATAAATATACTTATCTCAGCGAAAGTATATATTAGACATTATGTCTGATACTGGTATGCTAGGGTGTAAACCAGTAGATACACCTATTATGCAAAATTATCATTTGACGATCTATCAGGATCAAGTCCCGGCGAATAAGGAGAGGTATCAAAGGTTAGTTGGGCTATTGATTTATTTGTCACTTACAAGGCCAGATATTACTTATGTTGTAAGTATGGTGAGTCAGTTTATGCATGCTCCTAGTGAGGATCACATGGCAGCAGTAATGCGGATTCTAAGTTACTTGAAATGAGCTCTAGAAAGAGGGTTAATGTACATAAAACATGGACATATCGAGGTGAAAGGGTATACCGATGCAGATTGGGCTGGAAATATTACTGATCGACGATCTACATCGGGGTACTTTACTTTTGTAGCTGGTAATCTTGTGACCTGAAGAAGTAAGAAGTAAACTGTAATGGCAAGATCTTCAGTCGAGGCTGAGTACAGAGGAATGACGCATGGTATTTGTGAGCTTCTATGGCTTCGTATTTTACTCATTGAGATAGGGTTTAAACTAAAAAGGTTTATAATGTTGTACTGTGATAATCAAGCAACGCGAGAGATAGCTAGCAATCTGGTGCAGCATGACAAGACCAAGCATGTTGAGATGGATAGACATTTCATAAAAGAAAAGTTGGATGTTAATTTCGTTGACATTCCGTTTGTAAAGACAGAATAACAGTTGGCATATATTTTAACTCATGCGGTTTCTACTAAAAGATTTCAAGACTCACTCGACAAGTTGGGCCTAGGGGATATCTATGATCCAACTTGAGGGGAAGTGTTGGAACAAGTCAAAGTTCTAGGTGAAATAGGAATGTATTTGTATTTTCTAGTTTGTTTCCAATTCTCTTTAATGTTCTTTGTATCACAAGGAGAAGTTATGTGTGTTTATGTGTGTGTGTGTGTGTGTGTGTGTTTATATTGCCTCGTAATTTGAGAAGAATAATAAGAAAGATTGAATTTTAATTTTAATTGTTCATACGTATTACGGTTTTACGTCGGGTAGATCACATAAGGTGAACCTCTAAGCACAAATCCCTATTCAGCATCAAGAGATTTTTCAATGTGCCCCAACACACTTGTATATATACAAGTGGATGGACACTTAAAGGAAAAATTCTTTACTGGTATAATAACACATGGCATGCTTGTACATATACAAGTGTGAAATTGGTACCAAGTGGATTACCCTACAATAAAACTTAAAACTAACTGTACTGACTAGTCAAACATACTAGTCAACTGAGTATAGATTGTTAAACCCCACGCATGTAAACCAAACAAACTTAAAAGGTTAACACTTAACAATGTGAACTTTAGTTAAGTTTTAGTCTTAGTACTTGAGTTAAGTTCACTTGATTAATTTAAGTGTCAATACTAGCAAACCCTACAATGTTTAACTCCAACAAGGGTTATGTATAAAGCTTTGTAAAGTATTGAACACAAGGAAGTTTTTGGCCAGAAAAAACCCACCTCTGGGTTAAACAATCGGGAACTCTCCACTGAGTCCAATCCACTATTGTAAACAAAATTTATACAAAAACCACACAGGCTCAATTCCTATATCATTATCTACAGAGCAGCTTTACCTTTGTATAACTTTGTCTTACATGAGATGAACTATTTCGGTCTTCACGAAGTGGCAACTCTTATTGAGCTCTTCACCTTGTGGCACCGAGATTAACACGAACAATGATATGATGTTATGATATGTTTATGAAATCTGGATTCAAATAACCAGTCGGATTTTCTAATCAAACAGTTGAAGGAAGAATCTAACTTAAATCCAAACGCTTGGTCTATGAACGATATGAAACTTAAATTTAGACCAAAACTTAATGCAAAACCATTAAAACAATGCAACCCTACCTAATATGCAATGATTGGGTGTTTGTGCATGAGATGGTTTTGGAGTTAGGGTTTCGGTTTGGAAGCTTAAAAGGTAGCTCTAGGCTAAATGCACCTTTTTTTTTTTTAAATGTAAAAAAACCTAACCAAGGAACAATTGAATCCTTGAGAACCCTTTTAATGTGAGAGATTAATGTTTTCGACAAGGGGAACAAGGAGACACATGTCACAAGCCAAAGGGACCTTTTCAGATCAAGGGTGAGAGATCCCACTCATGAGAAAAGGTGTCATATGACCCATATGGGCTGTCATAATTTACGTGCCTAGACAGCTGGACAACAGACGAAATTTCTAATTAGACAACAACACTAAACAAAATGAATTTGGAAAAATAAGCTTGACATGCACATGCAAATGTATGATTCAAACCTTTTATAGTGAAGATGGCCAGTGCTTTGACAAGTTCAATCCCAGTAGAAAATCTAGATCAGCATTGTACCCTAACTCTAAATTATGAGCATGTGTGGTAGCATTTGCAAATTTTGACAAGGGAAGCCAAACAAAAACCTAGTACTTAACAAAGTGGAAGGACACTTAAAAAGAAAATTTTCTCTACTAGTAAAATAACACATGATGTATCGCCCCGTGTTCCGACCACATTGAAAAATCTCTTGTCACCATAGCATAATTAAGCACGAGTCTCTGACTTAGACGTGGATCTTTGGCTCATCTTTGGCTTTATTGCTTGACTTTAGACTAATCTTAATTACTTGATTATGTTTATAAAAATTGAGAGATTATATTTACACACCCCAAACTACTTCTCTCACACCCTTTTAATTTTGTAATATTTTCTACACATCACTAACACTTGATAGAAAAATATTAAAAAATTAAAAAGGTGTGAGAGAAGTAATTTGGGGTGTGTGAATATAAAAAGTCCTTCAACTCACGTACACTGTGCACTTAGCATGCCTATGTCACGTGCCTAGAGTGAAAGAACAAAGCCGGTATTGTGTGTTATGTGCAGGATTGTAACTGTATGACATGGGCACCAAAGCGTGTAAGGGTGGCACATAAGGCAGGGCATGTTTAGAGGTGATGGCCTACCTTACAAATGAAGGGAACCCCTTGTGCCCCTTGTAAATTTGCTGTGTCCCTCAGGGGTTCGAAGGGTCAAGAGAAAATCCTGGGTAGAGTTGTCTTATGTGCCAATTTACTTGCATGAGTATAGATTTTGATGGGACCATTTACGAATTACGAGTGTGTTGTCTTGTGAATCAGCAACACCCTGGATTTTTTACTTAAATTGGATACGCTTTTGAATGTGGACACTTCCTAATAGTAAATAGTATTGTAGTTTGCCAAACGCAGTAGGGTTTGCCACAGTGTATATTGGTAATTGCGATTAAGACAAGCCAATGTGGCCATTGGTGATTGGTCGAGGGTATAGTTAAAATGTGCTACTTCTCATAAATGGAAAATATATATCTTCGGATCTCTCACTCTAAAATTCAGAGATCAAGTGATTTAGGTTTTTGAAATTTGATCCAACGATAAAAAATTATTATAATTTTTAAATTTTTTTACTAACTTCTCTGTTTTTAACCGTTGTATCAAATTTTAAAAATCCAAATTACTTGATCACTTCCTTGGATTTTGGAGAGAGAGTCCACATGAATCATGTGAATATGGTTGAATGTGAACTTAGTCACTGAGAATTAGTGCCTCGGTGAATAGAATAATATAGAAATAATAATATATTTGGTTATACTTTTCTTCCTCGTTCCTAAAGCACTTTTTATGGACAAATTGATAAAATTATTCATAATCTTCGTGAGGACGTGTAAATTTTTAATATTTTATTTATTTCTTACCAACTTTATTACCTAAAACTAAAAGATGTTTACCATATGTGTAAATATAAGTGAAACTCATACACAAAAAGCATAATTTTGCAGCTGATGGGTTAGTTAAATTGAGTTTAAATAACAAGATGAATTTTCAAGAGTTTGCGGAGTCTCCTCTTCGTTTAATTCAAACTCTTTCCGATAACTGCTCTAGGGGTCGTTAGAGCTAAACTAGCGGTTCATTAGTGTTTCTTTCTCTTTCTTCCATGTTATTAAATAAAAAAACAAAAACTTAAGAAAAACAACTAATTATTAATAAAACGGGTTTGAGGAAATCCAATAACATCTTAAAAAATCAACCCATCCACAAGAGGAGAAGGCTCATAAAAGAATGAAGACTAATGTCAAACTCATGGCCTAATTTTGTCATACTATCAGCCATTCTATTCTTCTCACGATAAAATGATAAATATGATAAAGCGAGCCAATACTGAGTGGGCTGCGTTTTCAATGATATATGATATAAAATTACAACCTATCCTTGTGAACTTAATAATTCAAATGTTCAAGAATGTAGTTATGAAGCTATATCAAGCCAGATGAAGGACAAAAACATAGCTCATATTCATCTAGCAGCAGAATCTTTTGAAACGTAGTTTAGAAAGTTATAAAAAATAAAAAAAATTGGTAAAAAAAAGTTATAATTTTTAAACTGGCGATTATGACGGAGCAATACCATTTCTAACCATTTAATAAATAACATCATTACGAATAATGTTATTCATACCATGTTTTTGTACCATATTTTTATACCACCTTAAGTGGTATCTAATGTGGACAGCTACATCATTTATAAAATTTGCAAAACTCAAGGAAAGGAAAGAGAAACACTCATCGTATATCACAATCATCATTTAATTAACTAGTTTTTCTTAATTATTAGTTTATTAAATAATGAATTAAATTTAAAAATCTGATTAATTCAATTGATGTGGCTGTCCACATCAAATGTCACCTAAGATGATATGAAAATGTAGTACAAAAACATAGTATGAATAACACTACTCCATAATTAAAAAAAAAAGAACGCAAAATGTGGAATCCAAGTAAGGTCTTGTTAAATTCGAAAAAAAATTAAACATAAATATTGTTTTTTTTTTTTTTTGTCAACAAAACATAAATATTGTTAAAGCACCAAAAAAACCTAAAAGCCTCCCTCCAATAGCGAAAATGGATAAGGCGGTGGAGGACTAGCTTCCACCTCCGTAAAGAATCCCACTTCCCCGCCAGGGCCGCCGCCACTCCCATTCCCATACCCATACGCGGAATTACCACTATTCCGGGTATTCTCCGCCCCATGACCCAACGCCGTCGGATTCATGTTATACGGGTTTTGTATAGCGTGAACCCGATCCACAACCCACCTCTGCCTTAACCAATCCGACGCCGTCTGGGCCTCCGGTGGCGTGGGATACCGATTAAAACTCTCCATCTCAAAACCAGCTTCGGGAGATGAGGAAATTACCGCTACGGTTCCGTCATCTTCGTCCTCAGTTTTGACGGAAGTAGTGGCCCCCATTGTCGATGACGACGACGACGACGATGTCGATGCCATCATCATAACCCGCCGTTTCTTCTCCCCCAACTGGGCCGCCGTCGCGCGATCCTTCTCGAGCATCATACGTGGCAGAATCTCCGGGTCCTCCGCCACTTTGTTCAGAAACGCCATCATTTGCTGCGGCCGTCGCTCCGTCGCATCCAGCCGCCGGTTCATATCCCCGATTTCTTGCTCCAGCGCCTTCTGCTCCTGCTTCAACCCCGAAATCTCCCTAATTATATCTTCGCCATCGAGCTCCTCGTGCTTCGCCTGTAAGAAGTTTGCGTTTGAATTCGAACTCGAACTCTTGCCCATGTGTTTTCTCCTCGCCACGTTTCTCAGCAAATGCGTCTGCCCTCGCAGAAACCACTCGCTCGCGAACTCCCACTTATCTGGATCGACCTTTCGAAATCCCTGCAAAAGTAATCAGTATTACGAACTGGGTCTTTCAATTCCCTACTTAATTAACAAAACCCATTAATTAATTAAATAATTTCACGACTAATTGCTCACATAGGTGTTGAGCTGGCGTACGAAGCTGGAGAAATTGTTGTGCTTGAAGTAAGCGGGTAACAGTCTCTGAGAGAAGACCACAGGGTCGACGACGACGAAGCTGTTGTTGGCTCTTCCCCACGTGATTAAATTGTCCGTCGTCGAATCGTTGACCATCTGGTAAGTCTTCATAACGAACGGTGCGATGACGTTGTTGCTCTCCTCCATCATCATCCCATATAACTCTCCTTCACAACTCTCTGTTTTCTGTCTGCGTTTTCAGAGCCTTATCTCTCGCTGCTTTTTTTCTCGAATAGGTGAAGGAGCACCGTAAATAAATAACAGACGCGCGCACAGTAACACCGAGCTAACGTGGCACCTGGCAATAGGCATCCGATAGTTCATTGGCGGGAGCGATGTGGGACCCGCCCTCTTGCCCTTTTAGTACACGTCATCGTGAGATATTTTCCAGGAGACAGATGGTTCCACGCGCGATTTAGGAGCGTGGGACTGGGTGCGCCTTTTTTGTTATTTAGTGACGTGGTCCCCGGAGGTGCTGACAACTGTAGTAAGACTAGACGACAGGGCGGGCACTAATCGAGATTGGATTGGATTAGCACTTTCTCGCAAGATAATTGGAGGAATTAATTAATAATTTGAGGGTGTTAAGGCTAATTACCATAGGCTCAAAGGGCATGGTAGATCGATAAATTTTTTATTAGGATGGAAATACGGGTGGTACATCACGTGTTTTTATGTAAGTGGTGAGAAATTTTATTTTTTAAGTTATTAACCTTTTAATTCACATATCCCACAATTTGTATAATGACACGTAATATATCACCTCGTGTACCGATCTTATTGAAAAATCTCTCTGATAGATCTTAGTCGTATTAGGCTATGATGGTTTGTGATTAGTTAACTAATGGTCAACAATTCGCTGTCCATATTTATTTGTTTGTAAAAACAATAAAAGGAAAACTAATGAAAAATGATTTGAAAATATTGAGTTTTAACGATAAAAACAAAATAAAATGTAAAGTGAATAATACTATGATTGACCTTTGAGCGTAAAATATGATTTTTCCCTAAAATGAACAGTTCCATAAACTTTTCGTTAAAATTTCCAACAATGAACTGAGGCAGGATTTGAAAGTTGATAATCAACTGACAAGATATGGTGGCATATGGCTTATTTCTTGGATCTAACTCAAAAAGGGAAGGTGGTTACGATTCTCTGTTTCATTCATGGCGGAGAAATATATATGTCTCGAATTAATAACTCACGATGTCAATTGTTTTAATTTTACATAATAATTTGTTGTTAGACCAATTTTAACTTTTGGACTCAAATCTGAATATTTAGATCCACTAAAATATAGAACTTAGAACTGTGGATGGTGAATGTCACCGAATCCTATAGACCTAAATTTCAAAATCTAAAATGTAATAGTTGTTGTGGAATGAGTTTAACCCTAATTTTTTTTTTTTTTTGTAGGATAGTGTTATCTACATACTTATTTTTACTTCTCACACATTCCTCTCAATTTTCGATCATTAGATCAAATGAATTGAAAAAGATCAATGGACAAAAATTAATAAGGGTGTGTAGGAAGTAAGGATTTTTTAAAATGGCTGTTTGATCGAAACCAAAAGATTGCAAAAGAAAAATCGAATTTTAATCTGGACTGCTAATCACCAACGGTCTAGAAATTGAATTTTAATTTGACGTCTTCTTCAACTCGACGCAATACTACAGTAATGCACTATTGCAATACAGGATAACGAAAGTACAACTTATACTTGTTTCATCAAGGTGGATATTTGTTAGTATAGTAGAGATATAGATGTTTTTTAAGAGCAACTCCACCGTTGCAAAGGCCCCCCGGGGCTATTCACTACTTAATTCACCCAGTGAACAGTAACTGCCTTTTGCATCTCCACCCCTACACTGAATAGCCCTAGTAATACAAAATAATTTTGATTTGTTGGTAATAAACTTAATGATGGACCTCCCACACAGCAAAGAAAGCCCAACCTAAAACAAGGATTTGAGCCCAAAACAAAAAACAAAAACCTAGCAGCCTACTATCCCAACCGTCATCGGAGCACCTCAAACCGAGCAACCTCCAACTCAGCACCAGCCAACACCTCCAAAAGACGCCAGAGATCAAGCCACTCCAAGTTGCAAAATCGGAAAATAAGCAAACTTCAACATCCATGAGCAACCACAACAAAGATCGAAACCACAAAACAAAGGAAGCCAGTGTAAAATTACATCCCACAGGCAACGGAGCCGAGAACGGCAAACACAAGGTTTTTGCTGCACTTCTGTAGTCCATGGCTTCAGGAAACTGTGTGGTGTAGAGGGGTGCCAGGAAGATGGATCGAATAGTACCCGAAAAGAGCTTGAGTAGCTATAAGGTTGAGGCCTAGAAATGCAGATGAGATGATGGCTGATGTCACCCAGACGTCAGCCTTGCGTCACATGGCCTTCGGGCTCTCGGGCTAGCAACTCCATCGCCAGCACACGTTGGACCTCCCCACTCGAGCTCTCTGACCTTGTTTGAGAGCCAGTCCATCGAGCAATAGCCCACGGTGGAACTACTCTAATTAGGTTACCAATGAGATGAAACTGAAAGTAAATCTTATACAATTGCAACCATAGAAGTATGGACATAGGACATAGTGACACAAGATAAAAGCAAAGCTCTCTCTCTCTCTCTCTCTTGCCCCTGCAGCCCACTTTCATTGAATTTCTGAAGAGTTCATGTCATCAAGTACTTTATTGCGATGTGTCTAGCCACACATTAATAATGTTGATTTATTCTCTCTATAGCTAATTTTGAAACTTTTGGATCCTTGATCTCTGACAGGGGCACTGTGACAAGTGTTATAAATACAGGAGGTAGATTGTCTGCCTTCCTGTTTGGGTGTCCTTCCCATCATTTTCTATTCGTGCGGTAACGGTTAAGCCACGTCAACATTTTATATTCTTATTGCTTTTTGTCCTATTATCTCTATAAAAAAATTAATATAAAATGTTGATGTGGCTTAACCGTGACCGAACAAAATAGGACGGGATGAGAAATGCACGATAATAGGAGGGTAGACAATCTGCCTCCCTAAATACAAGCCTCCCAGGGCTCATCATTGTCGGGTCTTCCGATGGCTTGTTTTACTTATACAATTTTCTGATCCATGTTAAGATTCGAAGACGCATGTAATTGATAGAAATTCGAATTCTAATATATAAAACAAGGTTGTAATTGATTTGGATGAAATGTTATAAAATAAAAAATAAAATAAAAAGTTGACGGATGAAACGGAAGACCTGTTAGCTTAACGGGTTGGGTTTGGGTGACCCGTTAAATTAACGGCAAACCCAGTAAACCCGACTCGTTTACAGGTCTAATTGTAGCACTAAGTTGCATTTTGAGTTTTATTTTAAAGAGTAATATATGTTAAAGTAAGAATCCTCGAATTTGTAATACACAATTGAACAAGAAGTCAAACGACATCAAAACAATTAAAAGAAAAAAAAATATATAACGACGAGTGGGCATAAAGGAAAGGGATCCTCTCCCTTCCACCTAATCTCCTCATCAAATAATTCGGACCCTTTAAATTTGATCAAACGGCTACAAACAAAGACCCACTTTAAAAGTTATAATAACCTTAACCGTTTGATCAAGTTTTAAGGGTTCAGATTATTTGACGATGATGATTAGATGGAAGGGATTTGGAAAGGATCCCTTTCCGAGCATATTTCTCTTCTAATCTTAGTGGGCACGTTGTGTTGGCAAAAGTAAACTCCAAACGTGAAGTACATCATCAAATTTGAATTGAAAATGCAAATATGGTATTGGATAGCTTTGATAGGAACAAGTGCCCCAATGAAAAAGGATGATTCACCCAAAAGGGAAAGTTTTGTGTGGTGCTTATTTTTTGTCTATAATGTAATGTTGACAACGATCCATCATCCATATGAGGAGACAGTCAAAGTGAAATTAAGAACACTCATGCAAAGATTGTTCAAAAACATAAAAATATAAGCACTCGTTTAGTCTAATTCTATGAGTCATGACTGTATGTTTGTTAGATTATACGGCTAAAAGTGGACGCTCTTGTATCCTATGAGTACCATTCGAGCTTTTTCACATCTAATCCAAGCTCAACAATTTCAAATCGAATAATAAAGTACATGTATATACTAATGAGTTGTATCGTAACAAACTCACCAATTTCTTATCAAATAATAAAGTTTATTTATAGTACTATTGAGTTGGATCTTCATGTAAAATAATTTATCATGCAAGCACTATTTCATGTGCACCTTATCCCTTATACTTTTATAAGTGATAAGTATATGATGACTTCTTTTGAATGCAATGGCGAAGTCAAGATTGGTCATGGGGAGGGTCGAACTTAAAGAGTGCAAGGTTTAAAAAAATTACAACAATCAAATCCTTTTACATTAATGTCTTCCATCATTTATCAATACAAACAAATTATAATTGTTGACGATGACGTTTCATGTCATGAAAACTTCGCATAATAAACTCATTATAGTATTGTTCCATTACGCAACTGTATAATACGGAAAAAAAAAAGATCTTAGATTTTTAATCTTAGAGTAAAATATACTATATGACTAATAACTAATTAAACCAACAATTTCAACTGATCAATACCAATAATCATATAAATTATTCAATAAACAAAAATTCAATTAATCTATAATCAAGAATTCAATTTTTACCCTAAATAACAATTTCATTCATCATCAATAATTATAGGATTTCTGATCAATAATCAATAATTAATAGTCACTAATCATGTTGATCAATTACTTTATGATTCTATATAAATTAAACAAAATTTTGTATTAAATAATCAATTAGGGTTAGGGATAACATAAATGTGAAAATTAAAGATTTCATCTAAAAATTTGGAGAGAAGTGGTCAACCAAACCAAAGGATGGCGCTTGGAAGCTGGCGGGCGGGAGGTGGCTTGAATTTTGGAAGCAAGGAAGGCTAACGAGATGTTGCTGCTGGGATTTGGGGAGCTAATACTCTCTGACTGGTTTGAAGTGGGAAGGAACGGGGTTTGGAATAGTAAAGGCAATCGGGGACGAGTGGTCTCCCTTTAATTATTTAAATTTTTGTTAACTCAATAATCCAAACGACGTTGTCACACTAAAAGAAGTTTTTAATTTATTTTTCTTTTTAACTAGGGCCAAAACGACGTCGTTTTGGCCCTCCAAGATATTAATATTTTAA